TTTTGTTTTAATTATTAGTTTCTAAGTGAGATTCATTGGCCTGTAGTTTTATTTTTCATTTCATCATTTTAATATCCGCATTCTGTTATTGTCATAAAATGAATGGGGAATGAGATCAAGAGTTGAGTGCTCCCACCAACTGAACCAGCCAGGCACCCCTACATTTTTCCATTTTATTGGAATTTTCAAATATATTAATATCCAGTTGTAGATTATATGTTTTGAAATACATGTCTCATTTTTTTCTATCATAGGTAATTTACCAGAGGTTTTGTCTACTTAGCGGATTTGTTCTCTTTTTCAAAAAATAATCTCTTGGATTTATTTATAAATGTTACCATTTTTTTTCTATAACAATTACTCTCTAATGAATAGTAGGCTACCCTAGATCCTTTTGGCTTTACAGAGCCCAGGCTCAACTTTTATGCTGTGACTCTTTTCCTGAAAACTTGCATATTAGGGGCATTTTTATAAACAGAATGGTATTTTCCATAAATTTACATTTCCATTTCTGAGACATTTTGTTTTCGTTTTAAGAAATCTTCAGTGGGCAGAGGTTAATGTTTCTCTAAATAAATTCTGTAGGACCAGGAAGTCCCAATATTTAAGCAAGGACCAGGAAGTCCCAATATTTAAGCAAGTATGGAACAAATGATTTATTTGAATTGCCACGCCCAATTTCTTTGTTTCTTTAGTAGGTATTCTGAAAGTGGAATACAGTTATATGTGAGCATTTTCACCTTCTACCTTTTGTTTATTCCTAAACTCACCTGTTCTTATCATCACTAGTCTGTTTATAAGGAAGGGATGTAGTGGTACATTTACAGATTGTTTTTTTGTGTTCATACAACACACTTCCCTCTCATGAGGGACAGGCTTTGTAATCAGGTAATTTTTCCCACTTGCTTTTGTGACTAGAAGAATTTGGTTGCAAGACAGCTGGCAACTCTGGAGAGCCCAGTTCAGGGAGGGGAAATGGAGGCTACCTCTGGTCCTGTCTTTGAACAGGTGGCCGTGCCCTTGGAACCATGGAAGGGTCCACCAGGGGCCCTTCAGTTAACAGGTCTTTTGTGAAAGGACCCAAGTGCATAATAGCCCCTGCTGGAGCCAAGGACTGGAGAGTCTGTCTTGATGGCCAGCATCAATAGCGTGTGTCACAGTTCAGGCTCCGCGGGATCTGTCTGGCAGTGCTTCATGTTGTGGTTCACCCTGTTTCCCCTGTCACCTGTGGCCAGGGTTGTAGGAAGCATTAGAGTTCCTGCTTTCCTGCTGGGAATCCAGGCTTGCTGGCCCACCCCTTCCTCTTTCAGGCTTGCCCTGGCCTCCTCCTCAAGGGAGAGGAGGGCAGTGTTGGCTTCCAGAGAGCCAACTTTTTTTTTTTTTAAGGTTTTATTTATTTGAAAGAGAGAGAGAGACAGAGATAGTGAGAGGGAGCACAAATGGGGGGCGGGGAGAGGGAAAAGCAGGTTCCCCACTGAGCAGGGAGCCTGACAGGCTCCATCTCAGGAGCCTGGGATCATGACCTGAGAGTGGAAGGCAGACGCTTGACCAACTGAGCCACCCAGGTGTCCTGAGAGTTGACTTTCTTAACACCTGTAGTAAACTTGTCACAGTGACTTGGCACAGGGCCTGGGCTGGAGGACATTTGAAGTCAACCCTCAGTGTTAGATTCCACAGCTCCTCACTCCTCCAGCCGGTGCTCCCTGCTGTTCTGTCAAACACAAAAGGACATGCACAGAGCTTATGGCTTCCTCCTTTCTGGAGTGTTTCCATTTCAGTCTGGGGCTGCTTCTACTTCTCTTGGGGAGCCCTAAGGATTCCCATGCAAATCACATGGTGGCTTGATTTAAGAGGCCCCAGAATTCTTTCAGGTGAGTAGCATAGGAGCAGCCTTATTAGGGAGATTTGAAGGCCATTTATGTTGTATATTGCTTCATATCCTATTTGTATATATGAGTTGCTTTTGCTTAGGCTATTTCTAAATCAACTTTTCATTCCCGGAAAGGGAAAGAGAGGGGCCCCCACTTCTCAAGAGTCGTCATGGGAAAAACTAGCACCTTATCATCCTTCTATATGACATTTTATATGAATATTTGAGAGTTGCTTACCATTAAATTCTCTTATCTTGAGAAGCCCATCTTTTCTGCTCCCTTTCTCTACTCATTTACTGCCACAGTCTGCTGTACCCAGAGGCTTTCTAGAGAAATAAAGAATCAGTAGGAGCTGATTGGAATTTTTCAAATGCATAGAAACAGCAGGACATGTTAAGCCATGATTGGGTGTGCTAGTCCCTGGCAGTGGCTTGTGTCAGACGAGCCTGTGTGTGTGTGTGTGTGTGTGTGTGTGTGTGTGTCTTCCTCTTCCTGATTATTGCCTGCCCTCTAATTACCCCCACCCCACCCCAGAAATGGTTTCCTATCAAAATGTTGAGGGTGAAAGGGGTAGGTTAGTTAGCGCTTTTAAGTAAATGGTTTACCACCACAGCTCATTGGCATCGATTAAAATGCAAATCCTCTCACTCAGTAGGTAGAATGGGGCTTTGATGTATCCTCTTGTTGGGTGGTGGTTGGAGTGGGGAGAATCAACAGCTGATTTAGTAATGGGGGCTCATCAACAGAAATTGCTTCATTTCTATGCTCTGAGGCAGTTTCGTGGAGCGCTGAATTTTGGGAAATAGAACCAGGGCACCTCAAAGAAAGAGCTGGCTCTGCCCAACGGTCAGGCCTGTGTGGTGTGGAGAAAATTCCTCAGGCAGAGAAGGCTTCTCTCCATTGGTAGGGTCATTTTGCTTGAGGGTATGTGAGGTAGGGCGAAAACTCTTGCCCCGAGTGAGAATACGGGATCTTTAGCCGGATGGTCTCATCAGAGATATCCTGAGGGCTGAAGCTCTTTAGGGAAAGATTTCCCGCCGCAGGTTCTCAGCTCCCATTCTCCTATATCGACCAAATTCTGTAGCAACACATTTTCAACTAACTCAAGACAGTTTGAAGACCGTGAATTCCAAACAGGTTGTGAGTGTATGTTGTATAGCGTCTGTCTGTGTCAAGACATCAAACCAGAGTGAGTTGTAGAAATTCTCCAGACCTGAGAAGGGATTTTTGGTCTAGGGCTATGCTGTCCAATACTGTAGCCATTAGCCGTACAAACACTCAAAATGTGGCCATTTCAAATTGAGCTGTGCTGTTGTAAAGATAACCTGTATGTTGGCTTTTGAAGAATTAGTAAGAAAAAGGAATGTAAAATGACTCATTCATAATTTTTTGATACTGATTCCATGTTGGCATCAATAAAATATACTAAACTGAATTTAGTCCTTTTTTTTGTGTGTGTGTGTGTTTTTTTTTTTTTTTTTTTTTTTTTTTTACTTTTTAAAATTGTGCCTCAGTATTCCAATTGGACCGCACTGGACAGGATTTCATTATTCTCCTACCTGTGGAAGGTTCCTTTTTCCCAATAGAGGGAGCTGCGTTCCAGTTTCAGGAAGTCTGGTGCTTTTAGCATGTGAAATCCACTGCTTCTGAATGTACTCTTAAAAAAGAAGCAAACGAAAACGAAACCCAAACAAGTGTCTTCTTTGTTTCAATTCTGCCCAATTCTGGTGTTTCTGGAGGTTGCTCTTTGTAGGTAAGAGAAGCCAAAACAGAAGAGGCAAGAGGCAGAGAGATTTTCCACCCTCTTTGCGTTAATGGATTTTAGGAGGTCCCTGTTAGCTTCTTTGTTGGATTGCAGTAGCTTGCTGTTTGTTTGTGGGCTCTTCTCTGGGACCCGAGTGTGTGCACAGTTCATGGGGCCCACCCACAACGTGACGTGTGTGCAGCTGTGACAGAGAGGACCAGAGCCCTGCTGCAACCACACTCCTCCACAGCAGCCCCTGGACCACGTGGGATGCAGTGTGACCGTGTCCTGGAGTTGTGCCCTGTGGCGCCCTGAGCCAGTGCTCACCACCCCGCCTTTTCGGTTGTTCCTAGGGGCAGTGTTGCCCGTGGCGGGAGGCTGGGGCTGTTGTTTGCCTCTGGTGTGTGTGGGATTCTGTGTCTGGATCCTGCTGTGAAATCAGCTTGTCAGGATTGTGTTTTAATGACTACACTCCTGGTTTTCCTGCAGTCTTTCTGTGTAGTTCCTTTTTGGTGCTTCTGTGGTTTTTGTAGGGTTATTGGTCTGATAAGTATTGGTTTTTCCTTGTTTGTGCACCCTGTGCCTTTGGGGTTGACCTTTGGACATTCTGGTGGCTTCATCACTACCTTTATGCTGAGGAATCCCTAGTCTTCGTCTCCAGTTTAGGGTACTCTTGAGCTCCGTCCATTCCCATTGGGCTGCCTACGGGACAGTGCATAGGCACCTGAGCATTCCTTACTTCCTTACATGGCATTCGTCAGCACTGTTGGAATTTATTGCTACTGATTCATCTCTCTTCCCTGGGATACGATGAGCCCCAGGAGGGCAAAGGCCATGCCAGTCTTGTTTCATTCCTGGTATATCATGACGTGTGCCTGATTATTGTACACCCTTAAAAAGTATTTGAGTGACTATTTTGTTATACTTTTTTGTTTTAAACCGTTTGTGTACTTATTACTATCATATAGTTTCATTTTATAATCTTGTTAGCATTACATCCATGTCATGGAGCTATCACCATCATTTTGTGGTGTGGTCTGTTTAAAATAATTTTTTTTACCACCTATCACAAGAGAGGCATTTGCACCAGTTCTTTCCTTGGTTCCTTCCTGGTGCTGGAAGCTTTCTCTCTTGATCCCTCTCCATTTGTGACCCTTATTACAGGTTGAAGGGGACATTTCCATCAGCCCCACTACGTATCTCCAGGAACTTAGGTCTAGAAAACTAGAGCGGAAGGTCAACGAATCTGACATGTCTCCATGCCTGTAGCTCAGTGCACAGGCAGCTTTTCCAGGACATATTCCAAATTCTCTTAGTGTCTCTCCTATAAAACCAACCCAGTTTTAGATCAAGCTGACTAATGAAACACTTGTTTTTCTTGTCAGAACATGAAGAGGAGCTGGACCGACAGTTTGACCTGGAGATTGGCACTTTATTTGGAGGATTAAAGAAGGTACTTAGTGGATAAATGATAAAGCTTCTCAATTTTCAAACCTGGTTTCAGTATTTTGCATTACTTTTGTATTTGGCTAGTGATGAGCTGTGTATTTGTTTTTCTAAGCATTTTGATAGGTTTTTATTTATATTCCTTTATTTTGATTTTAAAAATGATATTAAAAAACCATTGCTTTTGACTGTTTTCCCTCTAAGTATGTGTGTGCCAGATATATTTTAGGTTCGATCTGTGTTTGTGGGCTGGCTTGGGACATAAAATAATGCTTGCATTCTAAGTCCCGAACATCTTACAAATGAGCTTTTGGAAGACCATTCATTTCCAAACTGGGCACTGCCCATGCTGGTATTTTTCTACTGTGAGAGTTGCAGGTTTTGCTTAGAATTGTAGCACATTTACTTCAATTTCCATTTTGATTTTCTAGGGTAATCTGTCCTTTCTTTCCAGCTCTGGCTCTCTATGGAGCCACTGTATTAGATGGAAGGCCCAGATTTTTCTGGGATTGGGAAGCCATTCCTGCACGGGGTGCCATTCCTGGCTTTTGTTGTTCTGCCCAACAGAAGTTTCTCTGAAAAGTTGGATGCAAATTGAGTTTTCATTCATTGCATCCATTTGTATGTGTTTTTGATTTAAATAAGCCCTTTTAGGTTATTATTGGTAAGACTGTTAGGTTATTATTGGTAAGACTGTAAGGCCTATGGTATTGTGCCCACTTCAGAGATGAGGAAATCTGGGAAACTTTGGTCATAGTGGAATTTGAGACGGAGCAGGAGATAGCCCTTGTGGGTGTCTGAGATCTGCTCTTTAGAAATATTTCACTATTGGATCTCCTACAACAACAACAACAAAAATGGTGATCTCTCTCTCTCACACTCTGTTTTTCCCCCCCTTACAGTTACAGTTCAGGCATTTCAGACAATACTGAGTTGTTTGCCAGGGGAAAAATAAACAAACCCATTTTAGACTAAGAGACTTTAAGCTCTTGAGAAGAGAAGCAATTGCAAGGCAGTATGAGCAGCTGAACAGAGGGTCAGGCCCCAGCAGGTTCTGGAGCTACCGCAGCAGATTTCATTGTCAGGGGGCAGGCGCCGTCCTGCTGTGTGTGCCACTTCCAGACAAAGGGGCTTTGTCTTTGCTGACTTCCCAGCTCCTGTCACCACTCCTTCAAATCTAGCTGCTTGGTTCCCCGCCAAGGCTGTAGAGTCCAGGGAGGTGACCTTTGCTAAGCATTTTCCATGACAGACCGCCCCCTCCCAATCCCTACCCTCCATAACAGGGCGTGGGGTCAGGGATGTCAATCTTCAGGACAACCCTGCCTTTGTGGAAAGGTGCACAAGCACAGATACACGCCCTTGGAGCTCAAGGACTCAGTCCTTTTCTATTCTGAAAAATCTCTGTCCGTGCCTCTGTCCGTGCCTCTGTTTATCTGACCATCCATCCACCTGTCTGGTGCTGTTGAGCACCTCTTGCTGTCCTCATCTTTCTACATCTCATCCTTTGTAAATGGGGTGGGTAGTTTGGAGCCTAAGAATTTAGGGGGAAAATGAGGAGTCCTGCTGGATAGTCAGTAGATGAGGGCAATTGATACTGTGTCCTTCGTGAAGATCCTAAAAGACCCTGGGGCCATCTGTAGCACTAGGGAGTTCACAGATGTCTGCTGACCATCTTGTTTCAGCAAATATAGAGGCCTGCTAGGTTCTGGACACTCCTTGATGAGTATTGCCCTCCTTTGAGGTTATGGGAAGTGGTAAACAAATGCAACCCTGTTCTAAACTCTAATCAAAAGAAGATATTTGGGGAGAGTAGGAATTGTGAACTTTAGAAAAAAAGTTTTAATGTTCTCTGACCAGTCCATCCCTCAAATGTTATGGCTGCTAAACTCAGCACTACTGACATTTTAGACCATTGTTGTGGGGGAGCTGTTCTGGACATTGTAGGATGTGTAGCAGCATTCCTTGGGCTCTGCCTAATGTATGCCAGCAGCAACTACTGACCCAAGTCATGCCAATCAGAAACGTCTCCAGGCATTGACATGTGCCTTAAAGAAGTGCTGGTCTATGGCAGTATTAAGGGGCTCTCCTCAAACAGCCTTTGCCATTTCTGATTTGCCATTTCTTTTGTTCAGCCTGATTCCTCTTCTGGATTGTATCTCTACCCTTCCCTGTCTGGTCCTTTTTCGCTCCTTACATCTGCTCCCTGTCATAGAAGCATTGCCTGGACCTCTGAGCTGGGCTTACTGCTCATCATTCCTGACACTTCCCTGTCTCTCTCTCTATCCCCTTGCACACATGCTACTTTTAATGAGGGTGTGTCTGTGCCCAAGTCTGTACAGAGTGTTGGGGACACAATAGTGAACCAGACAGACAAGGTTCCTGTCCCATTGTCTCTTAATGGGGACAGATTGAGGTAAGTAAATCATGCTCCATGATATGAATAAAATAGATAGGGTGACACGCCATAATGCTTTGGATTGTGTTTTTGTGTCCTACAGTGATATATTTGTACAGTTGTATTTTGTATTACCCATCCTCCACCAGACTGTGAGTCCCACAAGGACCAGGCTGAGATTTCATCAATCTTATATCTTTAGTGCCTAGAATAGAAAAGGTAAGTATTCTATTGAATGTAACTGCAGGAAAGAGTGAATAACACTGTGCCAGGTTGCAACATTGGAGTAAAATGCATCAGTTCGAACTGCATGTGGAGAGACATAGAGGTAAACGCTGAGTGGGACGGCGTGTATAGTCAGAGCAGCGAGACACCACTGTGACCCAGGTGATCACAAAACTGCTTTTGGGAGGAGGAAGCTGCCATACAGCGGAGGTCCACAGACTGCTAGGATTGGGCAAGGTCATCCTTGGAGGAGATATTGCTCCGGAGGGGCTTGCAGTGATTGGGAAAGGGAAGGAGGTATTAGGGAGATGCTGATGGAGGTGAAGATGCTGAGGATAGTGAAGGGCATCTGGGGCTGACCCCAGTCCTCCAGTTTTTGATGATGTTAGAGTTGGAGCGTTATAGCCCAAGTCAGGAAGGCCTTTGGGCCTGGTAGTTTCTTTGGCATAAAGTTGATTGCACTTGCTGAGAGGCCAGATGTGGTGGGGGAGCTTGTGTAGATGCAGCTGTCAGCGACTGCTCACATCCCATGTGCTGAGACATTTGCATTCTCCTTTGCAGTGTCTGCTCTTCCTGGCCTGGAAGTTCCCCTTCTCGCAGGCTCCAGTGGCTTCCTGGAGCAGTTGCGTGCCAGGAGCCTGTGGGTGGCCAGGGATGGGCCCCGCCGCCGGGTGCTTTTCCAGTTCTGGCCATTCTCTGTCTTGGTGTGTGGTGATCTCCTTGTCTTCTCTTGCTGTGACTTTTCTGGCTCATGGTCCTAAAAGAAAGGAAACTCTTCAGGGCCTGTGTTCCTTGCTTGTGGTAGTAAACAGTCTTCTGGACAGTCTGAATCGAACTGATACCAGTGAAGCTCTGTGTCGGGTTGTACTATCATGAATTTTTTTTCCCCTTTTATTAATTCGGATTCAAGGCAGTTGGCATAGTGGAAGGAACACAAGTTTGGAGTTGGATGGACTTGAGTTCACAATGCGGTTTACCGCATTTTGGAAAATCTTTTACCTTCTCCATGCCTTAGTCTTATTATCTGGAGCATGGGAAGGGAAGGCTGTGGGGGAAAGAGATGCTGGATAGATTACACCCAGCCTGGGTGTGCCTGGTGCAGAATGGATGCCCAGTACATGTTTTTGCGGTGGTGGTGGTGGTTTCTTCCTTCCATGGGAAACCTCTTTGTTTCAGAGTTAAGATTTGCTGGTGTCCCTTCTCTGGCAAGCAAGTGATGTTCTACAGAGAAGCATTCACATCCAGACGGGGGTTGCTACTGTAGGGAGTTCCCAGAAGCCTAATGTATTAACGAAAAACTTTACATGTAATCAATTCCTCCTTTCCTGAGGACCCCCCTTCCCGTGGCAGGTTCTGGAACTGGGGCATCCTTGTAGATAAGAAGTTCTCTCAGAAGTGGAATCAGAGAGGAATTTGCAGCATCTGTCAGAAGGGTTAGGAAGAAAAGACAAGATCAGAGAAGGGAAGCTTGATCACTGGAGTCTTTGAATATGGAGAGAAAAGAGGTGCTTTTCTAAAGTACAGACAGTTTTTAGCACTCATGTTTTACCTATACAGATTTTAAGATTCAGCTCATTTTTTAATTCCTCTGTATTTCAACACTTTAAAAAAGCAACAGACTCTGTTTGATTCACTGAAAGAATATTCCTTGAGCGCCTACCATGTGAGAGGCTTCGGGGGGTGCGCTGGGTGCTGGGAGGCCGGGACGTTCTGGGCCCTGGGTTTCGGGGAAGGTGATGACTGGACCGTGGGGCGTGCAGGAGCTGAAGGCGCGTATGACTTGGACTCATGGCAATTCCAGCTGAGGTCTCGGGAGACAGTGGGGAGAGGTGGAGGAGAAGCACAGCATGTATTTGCACCTGCAGGAGAAAGCGAGGCTGGGAGGCCGGGTGTCGGGAGGAGGATGGCACAACGTAGAGGCTGACCTCAAAGGCTGTTGGGCACCTTGTGTGGAGTCTGGACTTTATTCAGAAGGCAGTGGACAGTTACTGAAGGGATTCAGGCCATTGTCTTTTCTTCTGTGGCCTGTTTCAGGGGCCTTGTGATTTTCCTGCCCTGCCTACCCTGAACCTCCCCTTACCTGACCTGACCTCCTCCTGTTCCCCAGGATCTGTGCGTCCCTGGAGTTAATGTCCTGAGATGTGTGTCTCCTAATGTGCCGCAGAAGCCATTGGTGCTCCCCATTTCTTGTAGCGGAAGGTGCAGACTCCATAGCTGACCCGCAGCCCTGTTTGGCCACTGACCCTACCCCGGATCCTGGTGCTCACCCTTGGCTGCTAAGTAACAGGATTGTCTGCCGTCCCCTGAAGATGCCTTGACGTTTCCTACACGGGACAGTTCCTGCAGGCTGGTGTGCGCTTCCCCTCCGCTTGAGCAGCCCACAGGGA